TCTCTCTCTCTCTTTCTCTCTCCCTCCCTCTGCTCTCTTTCTCTCTCCCTCCCTCTGTTCTATCGGCACTGTGCTGTCTCATGCCACAACCTTCGACTGCATTTACAAAACACCCTCCACCCTCCACCCATGACCCACTCTGCAAGACGCAAGTGGTGCCCTCCAGAACTGCCCTTTCCTTCTCCCTCTCCTCCCTCTTTCCCTCTTCCCCTGACACCTTTGTCCCTCACTGCCGTTTTTGAAATCATGGGCGGGCCCAGGCGAACGGTTCGGCGAGCCGAAAATTTTGCATCTTTCAATGTTTTTTTATGGATTATGAGAGTCATCTTGTATGCCAACAAAGATTATGACGTATTGCATGTGAACTTGCGCGCTTAGAATTAGTCATATAAGAAGCAGGTCGTTAGGAGGCCTGCCTCTAAGGTCCTTCTCTTAATTGGTGAGGTATGCACCGCCCCCCCTCCCCCCATTGGGGCTGCTCCCCTCCCCATTGCAACTGCTGCCTACCCCTACTCACTTTTCTCCTTCACCCCTGTCTGTCCCCACCCTTTCTCCTTTGGCCCCTGCATTTCAGCATGGGTATACGCTGCAAGTACGTCCCACATGAAAACCATTGGATGACCGCCTAATGACGGCGTGGAAAGTTCGTATGACGCCCACGCGTTGTCGTTAGCGGAACCTGATTAGCGTGCAAGTGAGGTCTTTGTTGTCATGGTAACTGGTGGATATGAGGCTGCATAATGTATAGAGCACACCTTGGTGGTGTCAAGAACTTGGGTAGTGAGCTACTTGTTTAATTGCAAAGTAACTGTGAACTGTCGCTACTCACTTTACTGATTTGGTTTTTGACTATTTCACACTGATCCTTTGATGAAGTATGAAGTACGATTTTAAAGCGTTGCTTGGAACTCTCTGACTTCATGACTTTGCTGGCTTGAGGATTTCATTTATGTGTTTTGACAGCCCACATTGACCTGCGATCTTGGTGTACTTCATATGAAGACGGTAGCTCCAACCCCGTACAACAGAAAAATCCGTTTGAATACCAATTTAATGGATATGGTCACTTCGTGAGCAGCTCTTGCGCGTCTCTCTTTATCCCACAATCCGCATTAGGGATTATCTCATAAGGACATGCCAGAGACGCCTGGCACTGCGGCAGTCGTGTCTTCGTAATGTGGGTGTCAATTGCACCATGGCACGTACCTAGGATTCCAGTGCCGTGCCAAATCGATTCAGTTCGCTCGGCGGCCTCCGAACCGGTTTTGGAAATCCGACTCAAGGGGGGGGGGGGGGGTCATTGGCTGCACGACTGTAGTGGCACGAGATCTGGCGATGGGGTGTGAGAAAAACAGCACCTTTGCTACGGTACAAATTGATTTAGGAGGTGTTGGTACCAATGTTGTAAGTCTTCAGGTCAAATCATCTACAAACCTAGGCGGTGTGCTGAAAAAGTTATTCCGGGATCTAAGAATAAAAAGATGTTTAGGAAAGGAAAAACATTAAACAACCGAGGCTATTTTTGGTTATCTGATCAAATGAGCTACGGTTCAATTAAAATTTAGGCAGTAGCCACCAATATACTTTCCATCTCAAAACTTGAAGCAAACTTACCATGGACTATTGTCCAAAGTATTTAAGGCAACGACGTGCGATAGATTTTCATTCATCCCGCACGCCATTGATACCCTTATGCCCTGGGTGTTGGACTTGGATCGTACATCATACTTCCCTGTATTACAGCACCAGCGCAGCTTCTATCCAGCCTGTAAATGATTTAAACCCCATTTGTGCCTCGGTCAGCCATCCTCCTCTGCCCCGCCCCAGGTCCCGCCGCCCTGCTTCTGCAAATCTGCACCACTCGGCCGACTTGACGGCGTCGATTGTTGCATCAGAGCTAGTTGCGAGCCAAGCAGCTACCCACATGGCTCCTGGCCACAAGGGCTCTGGATCGGGCCCAGGGAGCCTCCTACGTTGATTCACACAGGCTCCGGTACCGGGTTCGAGGTCATTTCGGTACTGTGTCTGGAGGTTCCAGAGCTGAATCGACAGATATTCTAGAGTTGTATGGATAGTATTGTGCATCCCCGCTAATTCGGTCGCTATTGGTCGAACCCTTGTCTGGAGATCAATAAAGCCTGCTACCAAAGATTGATATATCGCATGATATTTATTACGTCATCAACAGGAATGTGTCCCGGTTGGTGCGATAATTTTTTGTTTGCGTTGTGCACTATGTTGCTGCTCTGCCCATTGTTCTTCACGAAATCTGTGCTTTCCAGCATCCTGCATACGAGAATGATGTGACTTTGAGATTTGTCATTTATCTGCCCTACATTCCCTCATGTATCCTAACCCTGAATGCTGGTAAAGCATGGTGTAGCAAAAGAAATCAACATGGTCATCTTCACTGTTATCTTGATGAACATCACTGATATAAAAATGAGAACCTGGTGGCATCGTGATTGTGTGGAACGCCATGTCACGTTCCACATCATCGAAAGATGCTACATTTTTCACGAATGCTCATGGTTAAATGAATCTAAATAACTTTTTGTTACCACCAATTTCAACTCAAAGTATGACGCGTGAACCCCTTTATAAGCACAGCATTCTATGTATTAAACAGACTGAAATGCCATGAAGACAAAATTAAAGTACGTGTGCACTCCTCAGGCCCGATTTTTTTTTTTTTTTTTTTGACGGACAATCTTATCCTTCCCTCCTTCTGCAGTACCCCGCGACCTCTTTAGGAGTCTCGTGCTTCGTTCAAAGGCGCCGACCATCCCTAGGTGTGGTCTGTGGGGATTTTCGCAATGCCAGTGACCGCCGTTAGCGGCTTAGGAGCTTAATGGCGATCTTCTGAAGGAAGGGCGGCATTGGCAATAATCCACGAGAGAGCAACTTCTGACAACCCGGTGGCGACGTATATGGTGCATGCTTTGTCCTTGCTTGTTGAAAGATGACCGGAAGATTTTCCATAAGCTAGTTTGTCTTGATGAAGATGGCGCATGTCGAGCACTTGCGGTTCACTTATCAACAGTCGGGCACTCCTTGTATTCATAAGAACGTGATAACAAGAGAGGTTGTCATCGGCTAAATGCCACAAGGCTTAGCATAACGAAAGGGATAAGAGCGGACGAGGGATAAGAAAAGACAGTTGTTTCACCTTACGAAATCTTAAAAGTCCTGTGGTACCTACCTATCTCCATAAGGTGTTATATTTGATACAATCATCCAGGTGATGGTTGATGATTTTACTGTATGAGAGAAGAGAAAGCTCTGTTTGTTCTCATGTGCTTTGTTTTCTAAAGCCACATCGCTGTTGGGCCTATTTGGCCCTGACGTAGATAGCTTTCAGCAGCTCTTGTGGTTCGTATTTTACTATATCCGATAATGGCTCGAATACGCGAAGAATGACATAAAATATCGAAAAACCCTCGTAACGGCTAATTTTTCGGAAGACACCCTGGCGGCGGCTACCTGCGGCGTTCACCGAGATCTCTCCTTAATTTTTTTTAAGCAACAGCCCTGTCACAGGTTGAGAAATAGCCTGTCGCACCGGGCTCTGTCAGGGATGGATCTTGTCGGGACATTAACTGCCGAGTGCCGCCGTCTCTAGCAGAAATTAGATGACACCCGATCACCATTGGTGCGGGGTCACCGGGGGAGAATCTTGTGGGTGGTTTTACTACACAGCTTTCTCTATACCTTCAGAGTCTGGGTGGCACGTAAAATCCCCAGTAATCCCTCGATGCAATGCTGTTACGCAAGGGGTAACGGATTGTTCATTCTGCCTAGGACCTGCTAATGATTACATTGATTAATGGTGGCGAGAAGACAGTAGCCGCCAGACAATTGTTCTTGTGGCTTACAAGATGTTCAATGTTCATTGGTCAGCGTGCCTTATATATACATCGCATGCATGTTTCAAGCTGCACAAATATCACCCTAGTGCCAAGGTGTCTTTTAGGTGACACATTGACAAGTTTTGAATTACTTTTGAGTAGCTACTGATCATCGCACACGTTTACATGCAAGGGAACGGATATGTTGAATTGATATGGATTTGAAATGCATTCACGCGACTTTGACAAACTATTCGCATGCTGATAAATCTTCACCGCCGCAAACATCCATTGAATAGTAAATTGTACATAAAATGAGAGGGTATGCCTTGAATGAAGGGTATGTTGTAATAAATTTCAGTTTCGTGTTTGAAATATCTATCAAAGCATCTCGAAATGACCGTCAGAGGTGGTATCAATCCCTTTCTTCGGCCGGGGAGGGTTAAATTTAAACTTTACCGAGAGGTTAAACTTCGCTATCACCGCGCGGCGGAGTGAAATGAATTGATTCAGAAAAACGTTTTCCAGGTTTTCTCAATAAGCCTTGTGAGTTGTGAGTGCCTGTACTTCCACGTTGAAAGTTAGCCCTATACTAAGGGCCATCTTATCATATATATTACATAGACTGAGAGCGGCCCCCTGCCCTAAATCCGAAATCTACCAAGAGGCAAGCGTTTTGACCGAATAATTTGAGGATACTAGGAGAGTAGATATAGCAAGCGGCTGTAACGGCAACGGGTTATCTCAACGAGATGATATTTATAACTGGGAAAAGTCCGACATGGACTTACTAACGGAACTTGACAGATCGGATTGAGAGATGAGGAAGTGGCTACTAAAAGTGCAACAAAGAAGCACTCGAGCAAAGAAGCTCCCGATAAGCGGTCGAGTGTGCATTGGCTGTGGCAGGCTGGGGGTCGTGTGAAGACCGTAAATCGATGGTCTTGAAGCGTTCGGAGTGACACTGCAGGGGAGTTATCAGATATAAACACTATGAAAAACAGCTGCTAGGTGGGATTTTGTGAGTACAGTGTGAAAACAACGTCATCGCCATTTCCCTTGTCTGTGTGTGCGTGTTTTTTTTTAGCTTAAAGCTCACTCTTGTATAAAAATAAAGCTGTAGCTAACCAACCGCTCATTTTTTGTGCACAGTGAGGTGATCGAGAAGCTGCTCATTCGGTGGAAGTACGACCTCTCCACAGTATTCTCCAGTGAGAATAGAGACACCCTCACCAGCGGTATTGCGTGAGTCAGCTCTCTCTCTCTCTCTCTCTCTCTCTCTCTCTCTCTCTCTCTCTCTCTCTCTCTCTCTCTCTCTCTCTCTCTCTCTCTCTCTCTCTCTCTCTCTCGCTCTCTTTTCCTTTTTCCTCATTTTGTCTCTTTCTTACTTGTCTGTGCTCATACGGTCCTTGCCTGGAAGAATCCTGGTTTGGGGCATTGGTTCCCTGATAGTTTGATAAATTTAATATGCATACCTGATGTGCTTTTGCCTAAAAAAACAGCTAAGATATCATTATATCCCAAGTGTAGCCTACAATGTGTTTTTATTACCTCCCCAACCTCATCACATTTCAATCGCTGTTACGACCCATGATTTTTTTTCACGATAATGACTCGTTTTTACTGATCTCAGGCAGCTTTTGCCAAATTGTCAGGGAACTCAGATTTGTTTTTCAATAGAAAAACACAATTCTAAAGAATAGTGTTTTAACTATTGACAACAAACCTTCGGTTATCAACAGTACGCGGTCCGTGTTTCAGCCGGAACAGTTCAGCACCTCCACCTCCGCCGTCCAAGACCCCGAGCCGCTCATACGGGCCTCCCACGCGCTCTTACGGACCTCCAACACAAGAGGAGACCCGCGCGAGAGGCTACAGCGCCCCGTTCATCAGCGCGCAGACGCTCGGCCAATCACAATTCAGGCCGATTCAAGGTCAGCGCGGCCGGCCAATCGGCTTCGACAGCGGTGTGACGTCACCGGTCGGCTCGGCCTATCAGAGCGGCCCGGGCGTGGTGTACAGTGTGCCCTCGACCCGGCAGAAGCCGCCCCCGGAGCAGCCCTATAGCGGCTATCGGGCGCCCAGCAACACCAACTCAAACACTTGGGGGTGAGTGCCATGAGGAAGCATCTAATAATGTAGGTGTTTAGAATTGAATACCTTTAACAATCGTTGACTGATTCAGGAAGGTGGTATTTGACATTGCGAGGGGCATGCTCCTCTAAAAGTTTGTGATTTAGAAAAATCGTTTCATTGTAATTCAGTTTGCATTTTTACATTGTCACTGCCGTTCCAATGGATAGCGTCATTCCAATTCAAACGTCAAAGCCCGTGCGCAATTCTGCAACTAGTTGCCACACATGTGGATTAATTGGCGCACCGAAATGCATTGCCGGCCATGAACAGTAGTCCGCCTTGTGCAATGTGGCAAAATTCATCTCCGTGCACATTTGGCTTCAGATCAATTAACGGTGGTGTAGTGTATGGTTGTTGTTCCGCTTAGTGGTTCAGAACAGGATAATGACACAAAAATCTACTGTAAGTACGCTAATGTCGCCATTTCCGGCCTGTAATGTCGTGACATATGGTCAGTGAAAGGCCCCAGAAAGCCCTACGCCATGTGGAATGGTTGGCAAAGCTTAGTGCACTTGCAACTGCTAGAGGATTATGGCAATGCAGCTGTCCCGAAAAAAATGTGATGAATAATGCTCGTTTAGTTGAGACTTGGGACCCTTCTGTAATGTCACGGGCAGTGACATTTCCTAAGCTCAGTAATGTGTTATCTAACCAAAATACAGGTGCTGGCCTTATGTTGCTATCAACAATGTTGTGGTGAGAGTTGGGGAGAGTTAACATACATTTTGGCACTTTTACTTGCGTTCTCATTAGCCCCTGCACCCATTCTGTGGTATAAATGTTTTTATTCTATCAGGATCACTTCAAGACAAGTAATTTAACCTATCGCACGCATTTTTCGCGACTGAAACCACGGCGTCGCTCTGGGTACAGACTACAGATCAAAGGCACGCAGCCCTGTGTTATGTGTGCAGTTTGTATGTCTGTATAGCACGCATGGTGGCAAGCACTCGCCTACGCGCTTCTCGCATTGGTAAGCTAAAATCTAAGCAATGAAAAAAAGAAAATCAATCGACATGACATGGTGTGAGCGCAATAGAATCTCGTCCCGGGATTTGAACCCACGTCATCCCAGCGTGATAGCTCAGTTAACGTCCTGTTGTGAATTTGACTGTTGTTAATGTGTGTGTTTCAGTTACAGTTTTTCGGTGCCGTCGTCGAGACAGAAGCGGCAGGCGTCAACCGTTGGCCAGCTGTGTCCCACGGCAGGTAAGCTCCGGTTCTGAGAGACAACCTCTGGCGGATCTTCAGGAAGGAGGCACTGGACGTACGCTGCGATTCCCACCCTCTAAAAAATAAATCCATTAAAAAAGGGATTTCGGTGAACGAGTGTTCCTAGCGGCGTAGTCAAAAGTAAACTTTTGCAAATGAAAGTTGTTAAGCTTTCTTTCTACGCAGGGATAACGATAAAATTTCGTTAAGTTGGGATGCCGAGGGAGGGCAAATGCCCCAAATGACCCCAATGACCAAGGTTCCGTAAGTGGCGACTGGCGATGGCTTTGACAGACCTACTGCTGTGATGATCACTGTGATGACTGACAGACTACTGAAAGGACTTTGACAAACTGTTAGCGTTGGTAACTGCTGATAGACTGCTAGTGCTTGAAAGTCATGAGACAACTGCTATATCAGTGCCTCAGAAGAAGTCAAGAATAATGATGTCTAGTGCCTGACACTGCTGAGATATTGTGACGAACTTTTTGCTGTTGTGAGCTCCAGGATGACTTTTAACAGAGTGCTGGTCCTGAAGACTGCTGAGATGACTCTTATGCTGCCATTTCATGTTTTGAAATGACTTGGACGTATTCGTGCTGCCGAATAGCATTGATGGACTCTAACACTTAGACAATGCTGAGACCCAAGAGATGAACTTGTTTAAAATGGAAGCATTGACGCAGTTTGCAACAACTGCAAACGCTAGCCCCAGTGCAGTGTCACAATTTTTAATATTGTCTGGCATTTGATTCAAATGCTGTATCTGCAGTCTGCGGTGTACCTATAATAGTGGGCCAGGTGCGAAAGAAACAAATGTTTTCTCTTGTTTTCTCTTTTTCAAAGAGTTGTTTTCTCTTGGCCACCATAGGGCAAAATATTACAGAACAGAAAGAAGAATAAGATGCTTTTTTACATTAATTTCGTTTTGTGTTTGCATTAGGCTTCAACATGTTACTGCCTAAAACATTGCGCAGTAATCCGGAGCTTTAAGCAAAGCAAACATTGCAAAAGTCTCCACAAAACTTGTTAAGTAACTGTTCCTGTTCAAAGGTTTATGCATGCTCTGCTTATCAATTCACATTCGTCGTTTAAGTTTGTATAACAGTATATATGCGGCAAATGCCTCCTAAAAAATGACCGTCTTAAAGGTATAAGACGTTAAATCTCAAATAAGCCACGCTCACCAAAAACGATCGCATGCCTACTATTTACAGCTGTATTGTGCTAAACTAGAGGCGTTAACTTGTTCTTGTGTTGCGGTAGGTACTTAACCGTTCTTATCGTATCCTGATCGTATCACCCCCTGCCTGTATTATATAAGTGGTTATATAAAATCGAATTTCTATCTCGTCGTCCGTAGTCTGGCTTCATCCGACAACTCATGCCCCCCCCCCTCCCATCCCAGCTGACCGCATTTAAAGATAATCAAACCACTGAGCCATGTAGCTAGAAAACCCATATGGGTCACACACAGATGACCAGCTTCCTGAGCCAGATTTTCCCCAAGTAATCGCCTCAGCCGCTGTTCAGCCGTAGCGGACGCCCGTGATTTCTGGCACAGGCCACCCCCACTCGGATTGACTAGCTAGTTAGGGGTCAGCGCAAGTGGCCTTGCTCCTTTTACGTTTGTAGCGCAAACTATAAAATAGACCATCTTAGATGCTAAACTGTTTGAAGGATTGATGGTTGACGCTCGATGGATTGCTGATGTGTTTAATCGTGTGTGACGAATGACGTTGCATGGTGCAAGGTGGTGTCATCGGGTACTTGAAGCTGCTTGTAACTATGCTAGTTTTCCAGCTGGTTGATCTGTCTGCCTTTCTATCGATGTCATCAGATGCCATATCGATGTCATTGATGAGTTCTTGTGTAATGTGTATGTCGACCTGAATGATGTGTCCAATGTCCTAGGATGATAAGTTGTGTGGATTTCCCATTTTGAGCGGCCAGTTGTTCATCAAATTTGAATCAGTTGGAGTTTAATATTGAAAATAAAGGCCTTAGCATCGTGCTAATCAATATAAATGGAGAACGACAAGACGACGGCTGGTGCATACCGCATCATCAGAGCCGATGATCATATCAGGACAGTTTTGCTTTTTTACTTTGTTTTTGAAGGTAGTTGAGTAGTCTGAAGACGGTCTTCCTGTTTGCTGAACTCCCAACTGTCCCTCCCCGCTGATCTTTTCCCCTACCAAATTGCCTCCTCCTTACTGCCATCCTCAGAAACCACCACCCTCCCCCTCCCCACTGACCACTTACCATTGATCCTCCCCAGTCCCCATTGACCCTCCCACTAACCACTCCCCATTGACACTCCCCACCGACCACTCTACACTGACTATGGACTCCTCTGACCACTCCCCATTGACACTCCCCACTGACGACTGTGCGCGTGCGTCCCCAGGTCAATTTGTGATGCCCCGGGCGGGGCTGAATAACCGGGGAGAATGGCGCTACTTGATCAACATGGGGGAGCTGGACCAGCAGTACACACAGCTCATTAGATCGGAACGCTGCCTGTGAGTACCAACGGTCTGTGAGGTGTGAACGGTGCCTCTCTGAAGGCCTAAACGTTTTGTTATTGTTGAGAGTGGAGACATGAATTGAAACTAAATATGTTTGTGTGTGTATAAAGCTTCATTATTTACCAAGTATTAAAACACGAGAAGCATCAGTATATAAGCATGCAATAAACATAAATAGTGTCAATTAGTTTAAATTGAAACGTCTACGTCATAGAAGAGCAGTATAAATTGAAACTTCTGCATACTGTTTGCGAAGTAGCTTTTGTCTTGAATGGCGTGAGCCGATTTTGCGTAGATTATATATAGAAGAGCACATCTTACCTTGGAGGCAAGTGCAGTAGATTTATTCCGTTAGCTCGCGCTCTACTTTCCACTGCCCCCTTCCTGGTCAGCCCTGGATCCGCCTCTGGAAGGTGGCCGGTCTCCAGAAGAGCTGCTGCCTCCTTCGTGGTCATCTCTAGATCTTTTTTGAGGATGGAGATGCTAGTACTGAGCATTGTGTTACATATGATGATGAAGATGATTAGCCAGATGCTCATTATTTAGGATCAAAATTGATAGAATAGTTGTATTACGTTTCACCCACGGGGCTTCTTCGGATACATATAGGTAAATTCAACAAATAGAACACAGAGATGCAGGCCAAGCTCAGACACAAATCATGCGCATGCAATAAATATCGTGAAAGGATTAACAGATATCTTGAGATTTAGACGAATAATAATTTTAAGATCGACCCCTAAGTGCGTACTGCGCGCTATTATTTGTCTTTGTTAATAAATACGTATACCTATTTAACAGTCGACAACACAATACGTACTACGCGAATTACGCTATCATTCCATCTCAGAATTCGTACTACGCGCACACTAATACATATACATCATTCTAAATCACAGCTAACAATGACCTATAATACCCAAACATAATCAGTGTTCGGCGGTACAGCATATCTACAGGCGCTGCCTACTGGAGCCATCTGTTAGACACGAAAGGAACTACTGCTACTATGTAGGTATCGGTGTCATATAACAAAGACAAATAATAGCGCGCAGTACGCACTTAGGGGTCGATCTTAAAATTATTATTCGTCTAAATCTCAAGATATCTGTTAATCCTTTCACGATATTTATTGCATGCGCATGATTTGTGTCTGAGCTTGGCCTGCATCTCTGTGTTCTATTTGTTGAATTTACCTATATGTATCCGAAGAAGCCCCGTGGGTGAAACGTAATACAACTATTCTATCAATTTTGATCCTAAATAATGAGCATCTGGCTAATCATCTTCATCATCATCTCTAGATCCGCCTCTGACAGCTGACCTGTGACCTGTCGCAAAGAGAGCAACTGCCTCCTTCCTGGCCAGCCCTGTATCCGCCTTTGGACCGGTCTTCAGAAGTCTCCGGTCTCCAGACGACTGCCCCCTTCCTGGACATCTTTGGATCCGCATTTCACATCTGAACTTTGACCGATCGCCAGGTCCATTCCCCTTTCTGGCTAGCCCTGGATCCGCCTCTGACGTTTGACCGGTCACCAGGTCGAGCCAGTGCAGCGGCCTGTGCACAGTTCCTGCCGGGATGACGGCTACGTGCCAGCAACAATACGTGCAAAAGAAAATGGTCGGCCTGAACCCTAACGGTGGAGAAATGTACACCGATCTCTACTGGATCCCGCATTGCTGCGTCTGCCAGATCTCGTAGAACCGGAGTTGGTGGGGTTTGTAGAAAGGAAGGAAGGCCAGTGAGCCGGGGTGTACCTCAGTTGTGGTCTTCTGGATTCGGTAGACGCCAGTGGAGTGGAGAATCGGGAAGTCAATGGGCCGGGTCGACTTCAGTTGTGTTCTACTGAATTCGGTATAGACGCCGCGCGAGAAGGAATGGTCTGCTGGAATGACGCTTGTAGGGTCTGATGAAATCGGTAGAAACGGGTGGAATGTGTACGACGGAACGTTGATGTGATCCCTACTCATTGCTTGATATGGGTTAGCAGTTGTTGCGTTCATTGAGAGAGATGTTGGTAGAAGGTACCGGGTGTTTCTAACTAGTGACTGATGCTCAGGCGCTTAAGGCGTCAAGAAGGTAAACCTCAGGCCAGACACGCAAAAGCTCGGGAACGCAGAGCGATTACGGACGGGCCAGGCCTTTCGAACATGCCGTGTATCATCAGAGGCGGATCCAGCTCAGAGGTTTGGGGGGGGGGGGCAAACCATAAAAATTTATCGATTCTTTCCATGCATCGTCCATAGGCGTAATGTTAAAATCATGCCGTTTGGGGGGGGCAAATGCCCATTTTGCCCCCCCCCCTGGATCCGCCACTGTGTATCATCCCACGACTGCTGAAGGACTTGTGACACGACTTCAGGCACTTGGTCCGGCTAAGACCTGCTAGAACATCGAGCGTCTCAACAAACAGTCACATCCCTTCACCACTTGGCGAGGAAAGAAGTGTGACTGACGCGTCCATTTCAATGTCACGCACTCGCGAATCGTCAGAGATGTTACTCTGCAGGGGTGATCACTTTTCTGACTGTGGCTGATGGACGCTCAGTGCCAGGCTAACACTGAAGTCAGCTCAGATAGTCAGTGAATAGGATAGAATGAAGTCCGTTTCTATCAGGAGACTGACAGTTTTTGTGTTATTTGACCGGTATGGATGTCATCTTCGACAGAACGTAGGAGTTTGTGTGACGTTTTCACGAGTGGCGGGTCGATAAAGGACTCCAATAGATGACGCGGCCGCCATCTGTGGCTGATTGAAGCGCTGCACGATCCGACGATGCGCGCAAAGTGTGTTTCGCGGAACTGCGGGTCCGAATTGGCGGTGAACCTCACGACGTCTGTCGCAAGTGGACCTGAGGTCTTGGTTGGTGAGAATACGACTGTGGTGCGGACCTTAAAAAGATATTGTGTGATGAGGCATGATATGAACACGTCGTGACCAGTCCCCAGACGCGAACTCTTTGAGAAGAATCGTACTTGTGGATGTATGCGCTCGTAACAATACAGTGCGTAGCTATTGCTGAGTGGATGGTACATTGATGATGGCTATTTGAGCTCGTAGCAATACAGTGCGTAGACATTGCAAGTGAGTGGATGTTGCAGTCGTGTATCATCCTCGTGTATTGCCATTGACCTCCGTAACAGCAGTGTGTGACCTGAATGAGCACGTGAAATTGGTGTGACGACAGAAATTGGTGTGAATGTCGGACGGGAAGTAGTGTTTGCTTAGCGACTGTTGTCGGATTTTTTTGAGACTATCAATCGCTTTAAGCGCTTTACTTTAATGAAAAACGCACGTCAAGCCTCCTCAATACCTTTAGCCCTGGAGAGCTGAAAATATCATCTTACTTTCCTTTTTGACTTTCTGTTTATTCATATCGCTCGTCTCGTGCCGTATTTATTTATTTTTCACCTAGCGCTGAGTCAGGCAAAAAAAGCAGACTAATTATGTTCAGTGACCAGAACTTTTGGAACTCACTGAAGAAAATGGTTATTTTTGTATGGTAGTGTAGTAGGTGTTGCACATGCATTCATTATTATACCTAAATTATTTGCAACGGGTGGAATATTTGTTGAAGGGTAGGTATGCTGCGCTACCCGCTCAGTCAGAACGAATGTTTTGCAGATAAACTCAGTGCGCACGCATAAGTAAGCATGAATAAAAAAAAACTTATGCCCGGTATATGATTGTTAGGCGTTGCCTAGCGCTAGATCGTCCGTCGGCTATAAGGCACGAGACTGGGCTGCTTTTGACTTCTTTGTCGCTATTTTTGAGACGCCACCAACGCCGGAGGCGCTGATATTGGGAAAACAATAGGACACCAATTGGCAAATGTTACCTATCAGTTGATCAATACCTGTGGTGGATGTTTGCGAGTGTGCGCGTGTGTTATTTGTGAATATGTGCTTGTGCAATGTGCATGTGTCTATATTTGTGAATGTGCGTGTGTGTCTATATTTGTGAATGTGCGTGTGTGTCTATATTTGTGAATGTGCGTGTGTGTCTATATTTGTGAATGTGCGTGTGTGTCTATATTTGTGCAATGTGCATGTGTCTATATTTGTGAATGTGCGTGTGTGTCTATATTTGTGAATGTGCGTGTGTGTTTGTATCGTATGCGTTTGATGTGAGCCAGCAGCAATGCTCACGCAGAAATGGAACGGGATTTCACTCAGCTGATCATCACTGTATCTACGCTGGTTTATTTACTATGGTGTAGTATCTTGATTTTTACTGGTTAATCTATTAACAGTGCTGGCGTTAGGCTGCTTAGATATTTTATTCAGATGCAAGACAACTTATTTGACGTCAACCTCTACCCCATAAATATGATGAAGTAGACTCGTTCACAAACGGATTATATGATGAGCATTGAGCATCGTTTGTAAACCCGTTAGTACTATGCGCTTTTTTGCTCAGTTCTCTTGGGTAATTGATTCTGGACTAATATATTTATTCAGGCACACTGCGTGGGTATTTCGTTGCTCGTGTCATGAATTGTCACCACTTGTTTTTCGCATGAAATAAAGTTGCAACTGATCCATGTGCTACATGCGTGTTCAGTTATATATTGCTGAGAGCCACTTTATCCACAAATTACGAATAAGTTAAATTGATTCAGTATGGATACATGAGAGCTCAGTAGCTTCATTTCTCCATTTGAGTGAATTCATCTAATAGATATGCTCGACTACGTCGAATCAATAGCTAGATTCAAAGCTCCTCGTCTTTCAAGGGATATGAACCTGAAGTCCGGATTCTGGATATCGCCGGACCGCAGGTTGTTTGAAAAAAAAAGAAAACGTCAGAAAAGCATCTGATGCTGTTGGAAGCAGGAACTGATCAGTGCGCGACGCTCTACTAACCGTTCTCTATAGCGGTGTGCCAAGGTTGAGTGAGATCGGACAAAGAAATGGACGCCTGGAGATAGAATAAAGTACGATTTTGGATGGAGTAGATTGGGGTGGGTTAGGTTGGATGAGGTTAGGCTTAGTCAGTTAACAGGTGAGGTCAGGTCAGCTTAGGCTGCTTTTAATCGATGAGTGCTTTTATCCTTGTGTACTTTATCGCCTAACGTACATTTGCGTACATTACATTAATTTACATTTGCGTAGGAACATTTGCGTACGTACTTTCACGATACGTACTTTCGTCCGAAAATCGAAACAGACTGCAGACATGCCGACTGCAGCGTCATCTTCATCCGAGTAGCCTGTCTGTCGAATTGGTGCCGCAGATGAGGGTGCTCCAGGTCCATTGAGCTGGAGGCCGCAGGTAGCGGTGCTGCTGTAATTCAGCTGACATAGAGGGCAGCACTGAGCATTCACGGAAACTGTCAACATATGATAACAGCATTAGTATGTACAAAATGTATATCCCGGAATTTTTATATCGGTGGCCTAAGGTCAGGTGGATTTGCGACTTCTCCAGTATAAGTCAATGGGAGAAAATTGAAAGGCACCTCTTTTGGACGAATGCCATAAACACTAAAACACCGAAATACAGGTAGGGTAAGGTGCCTAATTAGCGACCCTTTCCGATTTGCGACCTACCTCCCTACAGAAAAGCTAGTAGGAGAAAACGGGGTAAAAACATCGTCAAAACCTCAGCCATACTTTGGTTATCAAATTAAATTATTTTCCGGTCGTCGATGTTTCTGGTGGGACGTTTCAGATGCGTTTAAATAAAAATGACGAGTTTCTTATCCAAAACGTGTGTGTTTGGGCCCTCTCTGATTAAATGCGATGCACATTAGGATGATGCACCTTTTTATTCTGAATCGACATTCCTTTTTCAATTGATTGCCGTTTTTCCATAGTGAATCGCTCAACTGTGCACAGCATGGCGGTTAAAAATGTGTCGCAACTCATATTTCCTATTTGCGCCTGACATGGTCGCAAATAGCTCAAGAATGGAAAGAAAGGGGAAAAGAGAGAAATGAAAATGAGGTGTTGCTGAAGCTTGCAATGTGTGGCAGGGGATGCCAAATGTCGTCACCGACTGAGGGGTGCCGAATTCAGCGCGGACCTCGAATATCATACGAGATAGCCCGCAAAATTTGGGTTTCCGCCTTCTTTTCGCATTCGGTGCATCGCGTGATCAGTTTTTACTTACGTAAATGTGTTGGATAAACGTTCCTGTTCGAGTGATTGAGTGCTTTGCGTAAAGGTTACCTTTTTGAGATCATATTTCATCTTTTCAGGCGTCGCATTTTTTGTCATTTTTAATATGGGGAAACCCATAGACTTATTAGCGACCCTCCCCGGTCGCTAATCGGGAAGAGTTCCCTATTAGCGTTTTTTGCAATGGTTTGCCAAAATGCTCACTACAAATAAGTTAGTGAATATTGGGGCACAAAATGACTATATTTCAATACAAAAATGAACGATCTCTCCGAAAATCAAGCCCGTAATACAGTGGCACCCACAGAGCGTGAGCAATGACGGTTCAAATTAAGGGGGTCGCTAATTAGGCACCTTACCCTAAACATGACACACTGAACCGGAAAATGACACCCGTAACCTTTTTTATGTCTGTGAGGTCATCCCAATCACGAATGATATCTAGCAGTTTTTTTTTCGCTAATACTTTTTGATAGAGGCATGCTAGAGCGATGAAAACACATAAGATTTGTTCAACTCAAGTTGATGTCAAGTGACGATATGGATCGCCAGTGATATGCAACACGACCTTTTCCGGTCAGGTCATGACTTTGACCTGAGGTCAAATTTTCACCCTGACCTTTCAAAATTAACTTATAGTCAATTAGATGCCTATCAACGGGAGAAATAGGATGCAGGTTACAGTAAGCAAGTTTTGTATGTATTTGTATTTGTATATGCGTCAGCAGACCCGCTCAGTACTATCCGGAATTCGGTGAAGGGTAATTAGACCAACTATACCCTCCCAGAACTATCTCAAGCACCGCACAGATAGCGTCCAACGATATGAAAGGGGCAATGCAGGGCATCGCCGGACCCTGCAGGTTGTTTGATAAACGCCAAAAAACGCACCGCAAACAACGCAAAAACAAAAACAAAAAATTGCCCGCACCTGCCGCCCGCCACCAAACGCATGGATCATGTCATCTCCATCCTCCCGATGGGGATACGGAACTGACGGCGCAGAGCGGCGTTTCCGACCATCGTCTCGCTTGTCTGATTAATGACAGGTAATCCACCTGTCACCGATGTCTGCCAGATGGCACCTACTGAGCGGGGAAGGATGGGGGGGGGGGGTAACCTGTCTGCCGATGGTTAAAACTATGTATGGTTGCGGGTAGGTACCGGGTTACTCACCGGTATAAATTGTATAGCTGCTGCAAAGCCATGTCAGACAACGAGTCCGATTGTGATAAATTGTTTTCAGCGTGCTATCAACCGTAGCACAATTGTGAAAGAACCGGTACGATGGCCGCGTATAGTCTGTTCCAAATCAAGCTTCTTGGCGGAGTTGCTTCAGTAGTTCGCTCCTCCGTTCAATAATTTACGTATTTGAATGTAAGAATGTAATTTACGTGTGCAGAAATCACGTACCTACTGCTTTCAGCAGGGCGCTTCGGCCGCAAGCTTGACATGGAACAGACTATAGTACCTAAGCTCAGAGTGTAATGCTATTTATTTCGCAGTGGTAAGCTCTAGGCTTTTACTTCTCATAGTTACACTGAAACACATGAACACTATTTCAACCCACGCTGAGGAGTCTCTGTTTCTCATCCACTCTGCAATTATCAGTGATGACTTCACAAAAATTCAACCCATCCGGCTTCATTACGTTGATTTCATGCAACGGTCCTTCTGCGTGGCTAGTCATGGTTCCAATAAAGGACGGCTATAAATAGCACTATCTTCAGTCCAGTCTATTCCATCAATGTCCTAATCAGCATATACATAATAGCGGGCGTCATGCTCAAATGTTATAGATATGCATAACTGTTGCTGCAAAAGTGTGTGGTCACTGCACCGCAACTGCGCAGTACGCGCTCCTCGAAACAAGTGTCCAGGCGTACCGGCACGCACACCGCCCGGGCAAATCAGTGGGACTTCGAAGGGAACATACCACTTTTAACCCGCTGTCCTTTTCCGTCGATATCTCCTAAACGGCTGCAGATATCTCCACCAAACTTTCCGGACCCCTCCGGGCATCAATTTTACACATTGTCACCAAAAAAAATCCAGAGGCTATGATAGGTTGGCCACAAATGACGTCAGAATGACATCATATTCTGCCATTTTCGACCGAAAAAGAGCTTCGCGAGAAGATCTGTCAGGCCTACAGCTTTGAAGTTACAGAAAAAATGATCAAGACGTAAAGGTGTAGAATTTACAGGGCTACAAAACTGCTGTCTCGGATTTTTACGATTTTTGAATTTTGGCCCCAAAAAATAAAAAAGTATTTTTTATATATTAGCCAAAAAATCCAAAAAGTTTTTGAGTTTTGAAAAAACGGAATATATATGATAGTACCTACCGTCTTCTATATACGTTCTGCATACCAAATTTCAGATCAATTTATGTCAAGTTTTAGCGAAAAAAAACTGTTCAAAAATCAAGACGTCAAATTTTAAAACTCCATTTTTTGGCAGTTCTGGACCACGTAGGGCAACAAAAAGACCACCATTAGACTCTCCGTGACGAGCTGCATCGAATCGAATTCGATACCCATTTTTTATGCAAAAATACCAACTTTGAAATTTGACCTAATTTGACCTGACCTTGACCTGATCTTCTCCAGAACGTAACCTAAGCTGACCCAAAGGCTGCTTGACCAACAAAATCGCATTTTTCATGTAAAATGGACCATAAAACATGTATCACACGACACATTCATATTATGACCCCCAGTGACCTGACCTGCCTGGTATCAGTGACCTCAGATAGCAAATTATGTGTTTAACGAACAATTTACCATCGATGCTTTTTAATAAATTACCAGTTTACTCGATTTCACAACACATTTATTGAAATGCCTGTGAACGGTAAAAATCCGACCTTTGACCTGACCTGTGGCGTCGTCAGTTTGACCTAGGTCAATAAAATTTGGTCACAAGGTAGTTCCTCTGTGGAGCTATCGAACGCAGTTTGAATTTTGAAAATCGGCCGGTAAATTTCCGAGATCTTGGGGGGGGGGGCGAAACGCCCCCCCCCCCCCCCCCATGGGTGATAGGGTCCGCCGATAGCCCTACGGGGCGCGGGTTAACACGGAGTTTGAACTGGAATAATAGTTTTGTAAATTGAGCTGCGACTAGCACAAAGCAGGCATTTTTAGGGCCCAACGATCGACATAGGCAAACTGCAAAGATTTAGTTCGTATTAGTTCGATTCAGCAAATTTCTAGTAGGTAACAGAGTTCTTGCAGGAATGTTAGCTCGGCCTCTAATTTTAAATCAATTTTTATTTCGATCCGGCAACCATAATAAGATTCTGGGTTTTGCGTTCCAAGAAAGCCAGTAAGAAAAGCAAAAAAAGTCCCAAATCGTCAGTTGTAAAGGCATGCGTTGCCAGATATGTATGTACAGGTCATTTTCAGCACTACCGTTATTGGCCGTG